GTCCCCCTAATCCTAACTCCCAGGTAGGTTGGTGGTATTTGCATTCTGCGGTTTGGGATCTAGGAGTCGAGGGTGTTTTTCCAGAACTCGCAGGACGAGGCTACTCGTTTGAAGTCTTCTTTGGGATGAGGACATTAACAAGTGAAGGTTCAAACTCCAGCTTCAGAGAACGCAGGCCCTAAACCCTAAACCCTAAACCCTAAACCCTAAGCCCTAAATCCTAAACCCTAAACCCTAAACCCTAAACATCCATCGACCTCAGGGATCGACCTGGGGTCCTAGGTTGGCCCGGTACTCCTAACAGGGCGCTCGCAACCTCCCCCTAAACCCTAAACCCGTGCCACCCATCGTTTCGTTTCATTTTAGTTGCTGAGGGTTTCCTACACCCCTTGACCCTAAACCCCGAAACCCACGGATCCTGCAGTTTCTCTACTAGGTTTAGGGTTTAGGGTTTTTAAGGCTTTCTAAAGCCCGAAAACCCCAGTTCCGAGAAGCACACGGGGTTTCGGGCTGGGTCCAAAGAAGTTGTCGGCCTTTGAGCGTTGGACATGTCTGTTGGGCTTGGAGTAGCAGTCTTTCTGGCGAGTCATGCTCTTCTGGTCCTGCCCCTAAACCTTCAACCCTAAACCCTAAACCCTAAACCCTAAACCCTGCGGGGTTCAGCTGGGGAATAAATTCAGAGACTCAAGGTTACGTCGTGCTAAGCATGAAAAGACTCAGCCATAAACTTATGATGCTACAGCTGAACCCTTGCAGAACGCTTAGGCCCAAAGCCCTATGTACATTATATAAATGGGTAGTTGTCAAAATTATGGTCCCTTTTGGGGTACCCTAAATAATAGGTGCCGTATTATAATAAGGACCCAAAAAGGGACCCTAATTTTGACAACCACCCAAATGGTGTCGTAGCTTTAGGTGGTGATAGGCTCAGGTGCCATTCTCGGGCTGGCTCAGGTTCACAGGGCAGGGCTGGAACGGTGCAGGGCTCCAGGTTTAGGGCATAGGGTGTAGGGGTTTAGGGTTTAGGGTTTAGGGTTTAGGGTTTAGGGTTTAGGGTTTAGGGTTTAGGGGTTTAGGGGTTTAGGGTTTAGGGTTTAGGGGTTTAGGGTTGGCATGGGTTGGCCCGCCCTTCGAAGGTCTGCACGCTTCAGCGACTGGAAGAGCAAGCCGCACGCACGGAGCACTTCCTGTGTAGGCGCGTCAGGGTCGTCTGTGGCAGGACGACTCAAGGGCTTCTTTCGTTCCTTACATGGGTAGTTGTCAAAATTAGGGTCCCTTTTTGGGGGTACCCTAAATATTAGGTGCCGTATGATCATAAGAACCCAAAAAGGGACCCTAATTTTGACAACCACCCACATGTCTTTTGGATTCTACTCGCCCCTGTTGTATCGGGATCGGCAGGGAAGCATGGCCAAAATGTTGGCTTCGTGACTACTCGGTGCGTCACAGCTCACGGAGCCATGATTAAATTGGGAGAGGCCCAACAAAAGGAGAAGTGCAAAACCCCGGCCTTGGCCCCAGCTCGGGCAGCCATCGGTGAGTCAAAGCATTGACCTGCACTATCTTGTACTGTCCCGCGAGACAACAACCAACGGAGTGGGGCGAGAGTTTCAATCGAGGGTGTTCGCAGCAGTATCTATGGTCTTCCCATCTCTGTCGTTGCTCACTGTAGCTGTAGCTAGCATTGGCTCTTCTTGCCGAGCCATGGTGTGGAAGCGGTGGCAGCGCTGCAGCCGAGCCAACCAACACTGGTCCAGCGAGGACCTCATGTATTTCATACAGGCGCACCAGGAGCTTAGCAAGCAGCAGAACCAGATCGTTTATCTGGAGCTGCAGTTATTGAATGGGGCTACCAGCAGTAACACCACTTGCATGCCTACGGATCACCATGCGATTCTCGATGACGACTCCGCGCACATGAAGAGTGGATTCTAGTTTCGGATGATGCCTCCGACCAAGAGCCCCACCATGATGGCCCAAGTGTGCGCAAACCTTCTGGGGCGCTTGAATGGCTCGAAGCACACACACACACACACACACCTTCGCGTGCACTTGCATGGCTCGAGTCTCCAGTAAGGGACAGGGAGCAGCTGATCTCCGACCACAAGTCTGAGTCCAGAAGTTCTTCTCAGGCATGCAGCCCCCGGGGTGACGAGGCTGATGTAGCTTGCCAGACAGACTTCGGGGACTGTGGGGTCTGCACTGATGTCCATTGAGTCAGCGCCGACGTTTTCCGACTTCCCGACGGCCAGCAGTGGAGAATTTGCTCCTTACGACTTGCTCCTACCGGATATGCTGCCGTACCTCACAGTGCAGGATCTGCTAAACTGGCGCCTGCTATCGCATGAAACCAGAAGTCCTTCAGCCTTGATCCATCATGTGGCCGATATGGGGAGCATGGAACGGGCCGAGTCAGTTTTCGAACTCGCAGATAAGATGACGGTGTTTCGACACCCAACCATCCCAAACACAGCCGCCTTTGAAGGTGATGATGCCGAGAAGCAGAAGATCTTCGAGTGTCAATTGTGGTGCATGGCCCTCGCTTCCAAGAGCAGAACGCATTTTGCCAGAAGCGATGTACACCGCATTGTTGGCAAGAACGTTGTTTGCTTCGGTACTGCCTGAGTCCAACTGGGTCCTGCAGTGACTGGGCCGCACACTACGTTGTTGGGCAATATGCAGCTATTGGGCTCCTTTTGTCCAGCAGCGTATCGGAGCAGCCATGTTGGACTTGATCCACTTTCAAGTGCAATCCGGCAGACCCAACTTACCGCTGATATGGATTATTCACAAGACTCTTGGGACCGTTGTCCGCGAGCTCAGCGTGCATCAGCGTCAAACATGGGTGTCCCTGTTGGTCAGACTGCTGCTCGACCCTCGGGTTTGCACAGAGTCACAGAGGTCTGGATGCAAAAAAAGGTGATCAGAAGGTTGGAGTTGCTTTGGGCCGGCGAAGACGATCCCATGCAAACATATGCGCATGCAATGCAGCAGCTGCCACTTCCCCTGCAGTCCACACCATCCGCAGACGAGCAAAGTGCGCTGAGCAACCTCACGCTCGGCGCTCGCGGGTGGTGACGTGCAGGTTGGCATAGCTCCTCGAAACGAAAAGCGTTTTGAGGATTTCTCCGAAAACTGGAGAAAGCTGCTCGCCACAAAGTTTGTCATTCTGCTGAGTTGCTGGGCTGGTACTATCACTTCGCAGCTTTCATGTGCATAGGTCATATGATAGGCCCGCAGTTGCGGTGGGTTCGGCTTTTTGGTCGCAGCCGAAGCATGTAGACTAATATGGCCTCACAACAGAACATAGAAGCCTGAATAATTACCAATATTATTCCTCGGAGTTCCTTTTTATAACTATACTATGCAATAAAGGCGCCCAACACCCTATTCTGGCATTAGTATCAACCCTAAGGGTCCAAGTACCGAATTATCATATACCCTCCAAAATAGTAACCTACATATAACTATTGTCCCAAAACCGAGTACCTGATTATAGGGTCCTTTGGACCCTTGGGGCAAGGCCCCTGACCCTAAACCCTAAACCCCTAAACCCCTAAACCCTAAACCCTAAACCCTAATCTATTGTACCGATTATAAGGCCCCTTATATTATTTCCACAGAGGCCTTGGGTTCCGGGCTTCGGCGTCACGTTCCCCCGACTTGTCAGGTGAGGCCGGTCAAGGCAATATAGGGGGCTTAAGAATTAGGGCTAGGGTTTAGGGTTTAGGGTTTAGGGCTTAGGGTTTAGGGGTTTAGGGTTTAGGGTTTAGGGTTTAGGGTTTAGGGTTTAGGGTTTAGGGTTTAGGGTTAGTGTAGGGGCCTTCAGAATTAGAATAGGGTTCTGGGGCCCATTATACTATAATTAGAATAAGGAAGCCTCAAAATAGTATTGGACATAATGTAGATTACTTCCCTTTCTGGGGATTGTTGTCGGGATCCCGAAACTAAGGTCCGTAAAGAAAGGGCAATTACCCCAGGGTTGAGAGTTTAGCGTTTTGGGTTTAGGGCTTGTGGGGCTTACGGCGCCTATCCGCTAAACCCTACATTGCTGAACATTGCTTATGCAACAGGCCGTCCTTGCGGCTCGGCGTCCAGCGTCGCTGCACCGCGGGCAGAATTAGACAGGGAGGTTCATGGCTGTTGGCGAGCCTTAAACCCTAAACCCTATACCCAGGTTGTAGTACCGGACCTTTGAGTTCCAATATCTCGGAGCACTATTCCTTCAAGCCCAATTTAGTGCTGGCCGAACATAATGCAGGGGCCAAAACAATTACCAATGCTATTTTTGGGGTTCCCTAATATAACTATAGTATAGTATGCCCCAAAGCCCGATTCTAACTATTCAGGCCTTTACGTTACCCCACAGCTTCTGTGATTTCCCATCAGCCCTTTGCATTAACCGTAGGGTTCAGGGCCCTCCAGATCGCGAAGCAGTGTCTGTTTCTTAGATGGAGGCCATCCCTCGTTTTGTTCGTATCTTCTTACAGGTTCCGAGTGACCTGAATTAAGGCCGAAACTTGCGGTGGGCCTCTGGTATTCATTCCTTGGTCTGGGGACGTCGGGGGTGGGGCAAGTTTCTGGAAACTATGCCCGAGATATATGGAGCAAGCTCCTGCAAAAGAGCACACATCAGCTCTTTTGGTAGAAGCTGCCCTTTAACGGGGAGGAAGCGGGGGTCGGACATTCAGTGCTGTTCCGAGTTCAGCTTTCCGACTGGCAGATTTCGTTTGAGAGCTTCAGGAAAGAGGCGACCCCAATCTTCAATCAAAGCTCGTCAGGTCGTCGCCATAAACCCCTAAACCATAAACCCACCTCGAACCCTAAACTCTGCAACCCTAAACCGATCGTCTTTCAATTTTTCAAGAACGCTTGTTTGGGCAACTTCCCCTCAAAGTTGAAGCCTACCATTTTTGGGCCGTATGCTCGACAAGAGCAACTTTAATTTGTGCCAGACAGCAGCTGCAGCTGCAGCAGCCGCTGCTGTGGCCCGTGATGGTCGACCATGGTGGGAAAGGCCGTCGAGTCCGGGGCGTAGTGGGTCTGGGTCTGGAAGTATTCAGAGCGTCTCAATTCTAAACAGTATTGAAGCGAGCCCGGCATGCGGAAATTGTCGTTGGGGGTTGCGGGTTTTCCATGCACAGAGCTTCTTAGGTCTTGTCAGAGCAGCTGGCGCATTGCCAGCTGACTTCTTTTCTCCACGCAAGACTGGCAGGGACTTATCAACTTGACTTTGGCTAGACTTTATAATAGTGGTTCAGGGCTCAGGGTTTACTATTGACGAGGCATTGGCAAAGTTTCCCATATCCTGGTGACATCACTTGGCACAAACAGGCAGCGCAATGCTGTAAAACGCAATAGCCACGATCACAATGGGTTTAGCATACACTGCTGATGGTGATATTGCTATTGTTGCTGATGATCGTACTCAATTGTGTGTATATCCTTCGTAGAAGCGCCAGATGTTCTGCTGGCCGCGATCACACGTATCATCATGAGCATTTGGTCGATGCAACATCGTGCACATACATACATGCATGCATTCATCGTATGTGTGTCTATAACATTCGTACATACATACATACATACATACATACATACATACATACATACATACATACATACACACTTACATGAATGGCAAGAACGGCATACTACGATGAACGCCTGTAGTAGCAGCAAGCTCATCAAACGTGGCAAACCACAGCAGCAGTACCTGCAAAGTACAACAACCAACAAGGGTATAGCCACAACAGCCACAAAACAAACGGTAGGAATACTACTGGCTGGGCATGAAAACTGAAAGGCCTTTTGGCTGCGTGTGTTGTTTCTACGCCCTGGCACAAAGGAAAGCTTGCCTTGTGGGGTCCGGGGACGGCATGCAGACAAGCAACGAGGAACATGATGAAACCGCACAGGTGCAGCATAGGGCAGAACCTGCTTGTCTAATGCAGGCTCCGGTTTAGGCTTTTGGGTTTCTGGTTCAGTGTATATGGTCTAGGTAGCCCTTACCACAGTCTGCGAAACCTCGCCATCTCTGCCTTACGAGGCTTCACGAGCGGAAGGGTTTCAACAAGGCCCGCGCGAAGTCTTCATCTGCCCTCACGCTACCATTTAGGGTTTAGGGGGTGTTGGGCTTCAGGGATCAGGGTTTAGGGGCTTAGAGTTTAAAACTTTGGATGTTCGGTCGTTGGAGTCGCCTCACGATCACCATCGTCTCCCTCGTCATCATCACGATCACCATATCAGCAGTAGCGGCAGAGGCGTCAGATGCATTCTCCTCAACCTAGCCTTGGTTGCTTAGTGTAGAAGCCTATAAAAAAGACCCACATTATTTTTAGTGTTCCTTGTCCAAGACTTATTCTAATTTTGACGGCCCCTATAGTAACTGTAACTATCCCGGAGTTGACCTTCCCCTCCTCATCATAGTGGTCGACTTAGGGTTTAGGGTTTAGGTGTTAGGGGTCCGGGGTTTCTGCGCTGTCTTCGCTGTCGACAGTGTCACCATCAAGTGACGAGTTTCACCATTTAGGTGTAAATTCTGGCCAGGTTGAGTCACAGTGTGGGGTCCTTAAATGTAGGGGCCTAAGTAATTACCTATTTTCTTTTCGGGGGTTCCTTTTTAGAGTTATAGTATACTATACCCCAAAACCCTATTCTAAATTTGAAGGCCCCTACATTGCCCTTCCCTGTCGTCGACAGTCCTCTGGTGCTTCACCTCCAAAGCCTTCCTTGCAGAAGTCCAGTGGTATCTGGTTTCAATATACAAGCCTAAATAATGACCAATATTATTAGGATTTAGGGTTTAGGATTTAGGGTTTAAGGTTTAGGGTTTAGGGTTTAGGGTTAGGGTCCTTACTATAAGAATACCATAAAGGAGCCCAAAACCCTACTCCAATTTGTTTAAGGCCCCCACATTACGATCTACCTCCTCTCACGTCCTGGTGCCCTGTTCTATTTCGACCCAAGGACTTGTACCTTAAACCGCTTAGGGTTTAGGGTTTTAGGGTTTAGGGGTTTAGGGTTCAGGGGTTTAGGGGTTTAGGGTTTAGGGTTTATAGGGGTTTAGGGGTTTAGGGTTTAGGGTTTGGGTTTTGGGGTTTTGGGGTTTAAGGTTTAGCGGTTAGGGTTTAGGGAGCATGTTCAGGTGCATCGTCGAAGCGGCGGTATCCCACGGCGACCTGTGCCAGAGGCATCATGCGAAAATGATGCGTTTACGTGGTAGGTAGGGCTATACATCTTAAATGCAGGGTTCTTACTGCTTTCTTGGTTATAACCCTAAGCCCGAAACCCTAAACCTTAAACCCTAGCCGCAATCCAAGTAACTTTGTAGGGATCCACTCATTGGATTTGGACTGGCAGGTTTCTCCGTAGTTGGGGTGATGATGTAGAGCCCTCAATGATACGCAACATTCGGTTCAGGGTTTAGGATTTAGTGCTTTAGAGTTTAGGGGTTTAGGGTGCTGGGCTCAGGGTTTGGGGTTTGACCCAAAGCCTATGCTGGTTGTTCAGGCCTCGTAATGGCAGGTTTGACACAACGGGCAAGCCTGATCATGGACGTGTCCCCGTCATGTGAGCTTCGATATGGACCTCAGATCCTAAGTCTTAAATCCTCAACCAAAATC